ACGACGACATTAATCCTCCACCCAAACGGCAGAGGTATTTTAATTTTCTTATCAAAGGACACAAAGAAAAGATTCCAGTGGAAAAGAAACAGAATACAGTTTACAAAATCAGTTGTAAGGACTGCATTGCATCCTATGTGGGCCAAACGAAGAGACAATTAAAAAAGAGAATTGCCGAACATAAAAATCACATCAATCGCAACACTGACACACAGTCAGTAATCATGGAACATAGGTTGCAATGCGGTCACGATTTCAACTGGGAGAATGTACAAATTCTTAATACAGAAAGAAGTTTGAATAAACGACTAATAGCAGAAATGCTACATATTAAACTGCAAAGGGCAGGACTAAATTTGCAAACAGATACTGAATATCTACACCACTCATATACCGCAATCCTAGAAAAATTTCAAAATCAATTGTAGTAACGTTAATTGCTGACATGTATACGGATCAAGGCTCTCGATAAGTGAGTTCTGCGTCATCTCCACTGTGTACGTCACATGTACTGTTTTTACTTTGAAATGTTTTTTGTCCTTGCGGCTTCGACAACGTGTAAAGCGACTCAGAATATCAGTAGGTGGCCGACAGCCAAATATTAACACTAAATGTATAAGATCCTATTGAAATATAACAATTTCCGATTTTGTTGCTAACTCTAACATGTAAAAATTAAATAGTTTATCCGGGCCAACCGCGCCTTGCGCTCTAAGTTCCCTTGCTCGATCCTTCTTGTTGCTCACATGAATTCGGTATATAAACAATCTGCAAGCACCGTACTATCGAAATAAGTCGATTTCCGGTTTTGTTGCTATTAATATTAAAATGAACAACAAATTCTGGAAGGATCGAGCAAGGGAACTTAGAGCGCGCGGCGCGGTCGGCCGGGATAAACTATTTAATTTTTACATGTTAGAGTTAGCAACAAAATCGGAAATCGTTATATTTCAATAGGACGATGCTTGCAGATTGTTTTTATATCGAATTCATGTAAGCGACAAATTTTAAAAGGATCAGACAAGGGAACTTAGAGCGCGCGGCGCGGTCGGCCGGGATAAACTATTTAATTTTTACATGTTAGAGTTAGCAACTGTTTGGAGTTTTACAAAGTGAAAATTATCGCATATCAATCAATCTTATATTTCGGCATTAAAGTCTTCTATCGTTTTAGTTATATCTCACGTTTTTGTATAGCCAATTATTTCAGCGTGAAAAATATGTTATTTTCGAGTCTCATTTCGTTACGGTGCCGAGACCTTGACATTCCTTGTTGTTTTTCGCTGCCGATCAACTGTCAATCAGCTGATTCGCACTCAAGTAAACATACGTCATTGCCTCCCCTTTTCACCCCTACAACGGTGAATTCTTTTCTCTGTACATCGTCAAGCAGTTGAGTTCGGTTCTGCCTCAAGCTCGGTTGTCTCTCGAACGCGGATGTGTCTCGATCTCGGTTCCGTCTCAATCTCAATTCTGTGTCTCGAATAAACTCTTAAACGATCAACTCATTTTTTGTCATTTCTCTTAAGCACCGATATTTCATCCTTCCTCTATCCTACCGTTCGGTTAATTTTGATGTCTCCAGCGAATCCGTGGATTCTCATATAGTTCATTCGCAA